AGATAAGACTCCCTTAATCTATCCTACTGAACTGATAAGATAAGATAAGACTGAACTGATAAGATAAGATAAGACTCCCTTAATCTATCCTATTGAACTGATAAGATAAGAACATTGAATAGATAAGACTCCTACTAATCCCTGCTACTGAAAGCAGATAAGGTAAGAATACTGAATAGATAAGGTAGGATGAGAACACTAAATTGCTGCTGCTGATAACACTAAATTACTGCTGCTGCTGCTGCTGCTGCTGCCGGCGTCCACATCAGTAGCTGACCCCATATAGTTGGTATAAGGCTTGTATGATTCTGTTTGTTTGCAATGCAAATGAGAGACAGATACAAAAGCCCCTTTTCATCTTGAGTTCCTAAAACCATCCACTACTCTTTTATATACACACACACACACACACACACACACACACACACACACACACACACACACAAATGTAAGGCGTTTGTGATAGGTTGGATGACTTGTTTAGCCCTACTGGCATTAGCTGCACTAAAAGGAGGGATAGGATTTTGTGGTGTACTAGAGCAGCACTACTTTGGACTGTTTGGGAGGATAGAAATGCAAGAATATTTGAAGAAAGAGAAAGAAGAAAGGAAGCCTTGGTAGAAACAATAACTTTGAGAGTGGCATACTCGGCAAAAAGCATGAAGCTGTCTTCAGACTTTAATGTTGAAGGTTTTTTCAGGGCTTGGGGTGTTATTGCTGCATCTTATGAGATAGAAATCTGTTGAGACATGGTCACCCCCAATAGTTGGATAGAAGCTGAACTTTGATGGCAGTTGTTTGGGTAATCTGGGCCCCTCAGGTATGGGGGGTCCATTAGGGATGAAGATGGAAACATCATTGCTTTATACTCTGGTCCTGTGGAACAAGGTGTTGTGGCAAGGCCAGAGTTTATGGCTGCAGTAAATGGGGTTGAAAAGGCAAAAGAGTTGGGTATGGCTAAAACTCTTTATTTGGTTTAAGTGCCTCTTTACTCAAATTCAGATATAGCTAAAACTCCATTTTCTAATTTAATATGTATATTTTTGAAATCTTTAGGGCTGCAGTATATGGGATTGAAAAGGCAAAAGAGTTGGGTATTAATAGACTGATCATAGAAGAAGACTTGAAAACTGTGGTAAAATGGCTGCAAAAGGGGGAGGGGGTGGCATGGCATTTGAACTTAAATGGCTATCAATGGACATGCCAATCCAAGTTAGATGGTGAGGAGAACTGCCAACAGCTTGGTCTTTCCTTTTCACAACTTCTTGTTGTATCCTGTTTTTTTTTTGTTTTTTTTGTTTTTCTAATAAATGAAATCTTTTCTGTGTTTCTGATAAAAAAATATTAGGAATAAAAATCTTGCAACTTCTTTGTATTTATCCTTACCAGGGTAATCCTTTTTCCATATTATTGTATTCTAGGAGCCAATATACCATATATGTGAGGATATTTTATGCTGAGTGAACTTTGAGTAAATGCCAACGTTTTGTTGGCATGTTATTTGCTCCAAAGGCGAGTTACAAACACTTTTTGATGTAAAATCTATCACCTGCACAAGAGAATGATTTAACTGTTAGTTTACAGATGGAGGGATGAATTTAAATTCTCTGCAAACTTAGACACTCTTTTTTATTTGGTTTAAGTGCCTCTTTTCAAATTCAGATATAGCTAAAACTCTATTTTCTAATATAGTATGTATATTTTTGAAATGCTTTCTGACATAACCTAAATATAAAAACATCACATAAATTTGAGAACCGCTATCTGTATTCGTATGTGTAACTAATGCTCTCAAAATGGTTTGTTTTGTTGCAGCGAAGGTATTCTTTGGAGGAGTGGATGGGAAAGTTACTGTCTGACATTGATATATCAAGAAGTGTACCAATAGCATCCTTTCTTGAGCTAGAAGCTGCTGCTAGGTCTTGTATGTGTCTCTTCAATGCAATTACTTGTGCTTGGATAGATATATTTTGAAATCTTTCTTAGGGAGGGTACTCAATTAAGCAGTTTAAAATGAATTGAAAAATCTTAAATACTTATATCATTCATAAGTTAACATTTCGCCTCTACCATTTTTTCAGCATTTCACAATGTAAATGAGCCTAGTTTAGAAGCAAATCCATCTGGTAGTAGTATGGATCCTTCACTTTATGTCCAACACAGTTCAGGTATGTCTGCGATTGCTGGTAGTCCATCAGTCGCATCAGATTATGGCAGTGATAATGCTTATGAGGCATCAGAGCTTGGAACACCAAGACAAGGAAGGGATAGCAATTCTGAAGTTGGTATAGAGGATCTAGCATTGGATCAAGACTTGGTCACTACTGTAGGTGCATTTGTAAAGTATGGTGTATCTAAGAATGATAATGGTTTATTTATGGGAGATTCTATTATAGAGAAGATGGAAGGATTTCCAAGGCTCAAAATGCATTCCAGGAAAGAAAAAAATGTTATGAATAGGAATATATATAATGGCACTACTTCCAAGGTTGCATCCATTTCCAGTGATGGAATGAGTCATTTGTCTGAACCTGATCATGGAAGGACAGCAAGCCATATTCGAAAGCTGTCATCTGAGAGTGTTGGAAGTGATGGAAGTTCCGTAAGGGGAAGTGAAGTTTCAAATTCAGGCGTTGCTAATTCATTGGGTGATGGCTCCCTTGACCTTCCTGGAGGTGTTGAAGCTTCACTAACCACAGAAAATCTTGGAGGCATAGATTTGAGGTTCCCGGGTGATGTACAGGTGGTTCTTCCATTAAATCAACGCCACAAAATGAACAGGGTTCTTATGACCATGCAGCAAAGACTAGCTACGGCAAAGACGGATATGGAGGATCTTATTGCCAGACTAAATCAAGAAATTGCTGTGAAAGAATACCTCACAACAAAGGTAACTTTGCAGTACATCTTCAGGTTATGATTCTTATAGTCATGCCATCCCATATATGTCCATTTGTCCCTCCCCCATTTTCATATGATCTTGTATTCTAGGTCGATTGTGCTTTGGAATTTCATTCATAAAGAAGATCCTATTTGGTTATAATTAAATAGCAGGAATACTTTATCCAGGATTTATTGTCATTAGTAATTTCAAAACCCAGACTGGGAAGACTGACTAGATAGAATGCTCAGCTTCATCAGCTTTCTCCTTTATTGCATATTTGTGTATTGATCCAGAATTTAGTAAATACGTGCTAAGTTTAATATGTGGACTCTTTTGTTTGCAGACTAACAAGACTAAAATGTTCTCTGTTGTTGGGTTTAGTGTGACTACATTGCTTTAGAGATGTGAGAACATAGTAGTTAGCTGCAGTGTTGACTAAAGCTTGTTAACCATCTTCTGATTTAATAATTTCTCTTTTTTCTTGAACACATATCACTGTCAATCAATTCTCCGAACTTGGAAATTTATTTTGTCTGACATATTCGATACGATTTTAATATCAGAATTTTATTGTTGTACTATTGAACTAACCAATTTACCATGACTTCATCAGGTCAAGGATTTAGAAGTAGAACTTGAAAGCACTAAACAGAAAAGTAAAGAAAATCTACAACAAGCCATCTTAATTGAAAGGGAAAGACTTACCCAAATGCAGTGGGATATGGAGGAACTTCGAAGGAAGGCCCTGGAGATGGAGACAAAACTGAAGTCAGAGCAGGTACATATATAGTTTCATTGACCTGATTGGTGTCATATCAATCACTTTGTTGATTCTATGGATGATAATGAAACCTTTTCAGGATGAAAAAGATCGTACAGAGTTGACGAAAGTATCAGCCATTCAGGAGAAGGAATTGTTGCTGCAGGAATTGGATTCTACCAGAGAACAGCTGGAAAACCTGAGAAAACTCCATGAAGAACTAGAGATGAAATCAAAAGGAGATGTTAAAGTTCTTGTCAAAGAGGTTAAATCTCTAAGAAATTCTCGAACAGAACTGAAGCAGGAACTTAGTCAGTTACACAAGGAAAAATCTGAAGTTGAGGTAAGTTCATAATCCAATTTATCAAATGTTCTATTGCCATTTTCTGGAATGAATTGATTTGGGGTGTTATCAGACTGCACTATTCTCTATTCTGTGTTCCCTATAAATATTCAATAGTTTTTATTAATGAATAAGCATGCTTTTCATATAACTAAATGTGTGTAATAACCTGCAATGAACCTACTTGTTATCATGTTAAAATGCTTCTAAGGGAACCATTATCCTGTGATACAGTAACAATCTATGCTGTCCATCTTGCTTCAGAATTTCATTAATGAACTTATTTATTTGGTTGCCAAATTCCTAATATATAATCTGTCATATGTAACTTTAATAAGCCTGTACTACTCAACTTGGAGTCAGTTATCAGAAAATCGTTCTGCCTGGTTTGAAATGCTTTCCTTTTCTTGCCTCTTATCAAACTTCTTTCTTTTATTGAACACTATTTATAAATGCAATAAAGTTCATTTCTTATATCTCACTTTCAGTTTCCCATCTGTTTCTTATTTGCTGCAACTGTGATTTATCTTTACTGTGGCATTGTTAAACCTATCAACTAATACCCATTAGAATAGTTTATTGGTTTAAAAATCTTGGTTAAATCTGTTTGGTTCTCCATTTATATTGTGCAAAAGAAGATAATGAACTTCTATTGCATTTGAAAGTATAAAATAAAGACCCCTACCTCTCTCAAGCTACTTTATTAGTTTTTTTACTAACCAACATACCTGTATACTGGCTATTAGCAATAAATTCATTCAAATAAAACATAAAATGCCATCATATATACATCATACCTGTTTCAGGCCAACAAAAAAGGGGGAATGCAGTGACAAAAAAGAAAGAAAAACAAGGGGGCAGAGCCCCCATTTTGTTCCCAAAAAATATTCTTGAAAAAAGAAAATAAAATTAGGAGTAAGAGGATGATTTGGACTGTGTTTATGGGGGCGGAGACCCTGTTTCAGGCTAATAAAAAGGGAGAATGCAGCGAAAAAGGAGAGAAAAATAAAGGGACAGAACCCTTGTTTCTTTCCAAAAAAAGCATTGTAAAAAATTAGTGCAAAAATACAGGAAAGTTTTAGAAAGTTTTGGCACAGCTCTTGTTCAAAAAGAAGAAGGGGGTGGAGCCCCTGTTTCATTCCCAAAAGTACTTATAAGAAAATAAGATACAAGAGTACCAGGGTGATTTGAGGAAGGAGGAGGCAGAGCCCCTGTTTCGTTCCAAAAACATTTCTTAGATAAGTAAAAAAACAGGGCCACAGAACAATTGGACAATTTAAGAAGAAGAAATTTACTTGGAGGTTTTGATGACTTGGACTGAGTTTGGTTTCTCATCTCAGTCTTGGTTCAGTACTTAAACCCAAATAAACTTTCGTTGCTTTAATAAAAAAGAATTATCTTAATAAAAAATGTAATATACAACAGGGTGTATTCTAATAAAATAAAACCAACCAATAAAATGATATAATATTTATGGGCATTCAGAAAAATAATATAATATGTATGTGCATGAGTGCCTAACACGAAAAACATCTTAGCATTGGGCTAGGTTACTTCAAAAAATGGATATAGAACTGAGCATAATGTAATGGAAGAACAGGATCATGTGGCCAACCATTTAGTTTGGAACTTCGGACAACACTTGGATGATAATGATGATGGACAGTTGTGAAACACTCCTGCAACAATCTGAATAAAGAAAAGAAAAACAAGAGAGAAGAAGATGAAGAGAGAAAAGTAAAGGAGGAAGAAGATAGAAGAAAGGGAAGAAGAGAGAGAGTTCTAAACCTCTTTTCAGCCTCCAATGATCTCTTTTATTGTAAAAAATAAAGACAATTACATGAGTGCTCTTAGTAGGGGGTCCATCACTAAAGACAACAATAGAAAACAATAAAAAAAGAAAAAAAACAGGCCCATAACTAAGGCCCACTACCTACTAACACAAGTTATAAACATAAGTACATAACTTAAAGAAAAATAAAGAAACTAAGGCCCATTCGGTCCATTCTCACTACACTCCCCCTCAAGCTGAGCATAGATGCCAATCAATGTGCTTAGTTCTATCATGCTGAACCAGGTTGTGAGCAATGTTAATAGCAGCCTGGTTATCACAATATAACATCAGTGACTTGTCACATGAAACACCCATTTTATCAAGGAGAGATCTAAGCCATAACAACTTAGAAACCCCATGAGCCATAGCCCTATATTCTGCTTCAGTTGAAGATCTAGCAACCACTGATTGCTTTTTTTTTGAAGCAAAGGTAACTTTTTATTGAAGAAGAAAAAAGCAGAAGCACATGAGAAGATGTACTGAAGCCAAGAGTGGCTTGGCAGGACTACAAAGGCAAACAACTGTCACTAAACAAGAAATCTCTAGAGACCCCTGATTTTGCTAGGTTATTAGCAACAGAATTTTGCTCCCTAGGAATCCAGACCAACTTCACACTCATAGAGCTTAAGATATCCCTGGCTTCAGCTAAGAAGTGGGCAAGTCTCCAGGGACCTCCTTTCTCTTGTAGCCAAGCTATAGTATTTGCAGAATCCCCTTTAATGGTTAAAGTGGATAAACCTAACCATTTAGCAAGGCGAGTCCCTGTGAGTGCAGCACTACAGCCAATACCTCTGCCTTTATGGCATTTGCCCTCCCAATCGGACCACCGTAAGCCCAGAAAATATTCCCCCTTTCCCCTCGGATTACACCTCCAATTCCTGCTTGACCTGTGGATCCTTGGGCGCTACCATCAAAGTTTAGAGTCATTTCTCTTTCTTCTCTAAAAACCTGTCTCATGGTCCACTCGGATCTTGGAGAGGAGTGTAAAATTTCTGGAAGGTTGCTCTGGAGATCATTTAGGGAGAGACCTTTGAACACTTAAAGAGTTGATTACCCAAAGGTTGCAGAGATGTGTGATGTAGGAAGTTAGATCTTCAATGTTTCTAGCTTTATTTTCAAAGGTTCTATTGTTCCTTTCTTCCCAAATGCCCCACAAGACTGCATGGGTCACTGTAATCCAGTAAAGTCTTCCTCTTTTTCTTAGCCCTCTGCCTTGCCATTGCCACAAGAAGGCCACCACCCTCTCTAGGAACACCCAGCTGTAACCAACTAGGTTTAGGAAGAAGTACCAAATCTTTCTAGTGACCGGGCAGTGGAGAAGGATGTGATCAGTTGTCTCCCCGTCACCAAGACAAAGAGGACAGACATGAGGGGAGATGCATAATTTGCCTTTAAACCTTTTCTGAAGCAACTCGCAGGTGTTTATTCTCTTTAAGCAAGTTTCCCACACAGAGAAAGAGACTCTATGGGGGATGTGTGATCTCCATACTTTCTTATCCGCAAAGGGAGGTCTCTGATCTTCTGACACTAGAGCCTTGAAAAAGGAGTTAGTGGAGAACTTGCCAGCAGGATTAAGTTTCCAGATTCTCTGGTCAGGAGTAGCAAGAGAGATGTAAGCCTCATTAAGAGAGTTTAGCAAACTAGCTATATCAGCAATTTCTATTTCTCTTAAAGGCCTTCTGAGATTTAGGTTCCAAGTTGTTCCTGATGGTGAGGGGTTGAGGCTAGAGGCTATCGTGGCTTCTTTGGATTGGGACAGGTTAAAGATTCTAGGATAGGAGTTAGCAAGGGCGTCCTCTCCCCACCACAAATCAGTCCAAAATTTAATTCTATTTCCGTTCCTCTCCTGATATCTAGCAGAATAAAAAATGAGGTCATAAATAGAAGTAATACCTTTCCAAGGGTTAGAGGCTTTGACCCGGTTCAAGTGGACCTTGCTATCCCAACTGTTGGCATGTCTCCTGTACTTGCTCTTGATGACTTTTGTCCACAACACTTCCATCTCCAAGGGATACCTCCAAATTTTCCAAGAAGGGCCAAGTTCCTTTCTTTGATATGACCTAGTCCCAAATCACCAACTTCCTTTGGCTTGCAAACCTGATTCCAGCCTACTAGATGACACTTGTTTTCACCACCCCCTTCCCATAGGAAATCCCGTTGTAGTTTTTCAATCTTGCTTTTTACTTCGCCTGGGATTCGGAAAACCGACAAAAAGTAGATTAGCAGGTTGGCAAGGGAAGCCTTAATTAGTGCAAGTCTTCCACGTGGCCAATCTTTTCTCACATTTCTCCACTACCGGGTCCCAAAAACTTTTACTTTTCAAGTTCCCACCAAGAGGCATTCCCAAATAGGCAACTCTCCAACTTACACCCCAACAGCTCCCTAAACCTATCCAATAGAGGGTCACCAACATTTAGGCCCACGATGCTGCTTTTAGAGTAATTTATTTTGAGTCCAGTCACCATCTCAAAACTATTTAACACTCTTTTTATGATGGAAATGTTCTCCCAGTCCGCCTCCAGGAAAAGTATGATGTCATGTGCAAACATCAAGTGAGAAACCGGGACTGCCTCCCTACCTATCTCGAATTCTTTTAGCAAATTTAACTCCCTTGCTTCTTGAATCAAGTAACTAAGTACATCCGCCACCAAAGTGAAGAGTAGTGGGGAGAAAGGGCACCCTTGTCTCAAGCCCCTGTTTGCATTAAAGTATCCAGTAGGTTCACCATTAATCAGGACTGAAAACCAAGCAGAGCTTATGCACCCTTTTATCCATCTCATTCACCTTCTACCGAAACCTCTCAGACTTAGAATCTCTAACAAGCAATCCCAATCCACTTTGTCATAGGCCTTTTCAAGGTCCAACTTGATTACCACCCCCGGCTTGCCACTTTGTGTTCTTTCTTCTACACATTCGTTGGCCACTAGAATGCTGTCAATAATCTGCCTTCCTTGCACAAAAGCAAATTGGTTGTTTGAAATTAGATCATTCAGCACCTCCTTTAGCCTTGTTGCCAACACTTTCACTACTATTTTGTATAAGCTTCCCACCAACCTGATAGGTCTGAAATCCTTAACTTCTAAGGATCCCTCTTTCTTTGGCACTAGGGTGATGAATGTTGAGTTGTTTCCTTTGTTCACAATGGCTGATAGGTAGAAATCTGCAA